CTAATATATAGTTAATCATGTTGAGCCTTTTTCGAGTTAGTCCGTCTGGACATTTTTACTCTTTGATAGCTGGGGGTGTCAAATTCAATTCGATGATTGATCTTAGATCTGCGTACCGCCCCGTGCGACTAGAGATTATTCTGAAATTAGATAGTGTTAAGTAGGGCAGCCGGTCTGCTATCTGTAGCTATTACATGTCGAGTAAGTTATGCAGTTTCCATAAGATTTGTTTTTGAAATAAACAGTCTTCGTTAAATAAATAATTTTTTAATTATATATAAATTATTTTTATATTGTCGTGCATATATTTGAAATACAGTTTTCGTTAAATAGGTAAAATTGGCTTGGAATATCACATATCTGTAGTGTTCTAAACTATTAATTAAACGTTGTTATAACATTGATATGTATAAATGAGATTTTTATAATTAGCGCCCTAGACCCTTTTCGCTGGCATCAAAGAAATCCGCTACTGTTCTATTGTTTATATGTTGACATCAATAATTGTTGAATAAACAAAACATTTCATTATTTATTTTATAAATCAAAAAGATAATGAGAACTGGTTCACGAGCCAATATGCAGGAAAGAAAGAATACGTTCGGATCACATAATTTTCATTCCGCTGTTCATTTTTTAACCGGGTATTTTGTATTCATGCTGATATTTGCATTATAATTCAAATATTTGTTATGTATTGCTTTAGTATTTTTTTTTTTATTATTAAATTAAAGTGGATTTTATTTGTATGCTTATTTTGTCACTGAGATGATCTCCGCATTTTGTCATTGTATGCTGGTGCTTGAGCTGGTGCAGTATGGAGATATATGGAATTGTATTTACCCGTTTGTGAAGTTCGGCGACTGAAGCGCGCGCGGTATCGTAATGAATTTTTTAAAAGCCACTCGCGACTGTCTTTAATGTAAAAATGCTTAAGTGCTGATTTGAATGAATCAGTTTGTAAGTTCTAAGTTACTTAAATGGCAATGGCATCAGAGACGAGAGTCTGTACTGAATATTTTGCTTCAAAAATGTATTAAAATTCCGCGTACTTAAAATCTAAACCTTATATTCATTCATAAGGTTTGAATGAATGTCAAAATGTGATTACTAAAAATAGGGCGGATTGACGAAAATATTCGCGAAAGTTTTAATTTGTTAAATAATTAAAAATAAATTTTCGTAAACTATTTATAAATGCATGTGTGCAAAATACATACATATATCGATAAAATAAATTACACATTAATTGGCGTTTCTATTTGCATAAAAAAATAATAAATATATAATATTAAAGTGATTTAAAATAGAGAAAATTTTTTTGTAAAATTAATTCATAATTTATTAAAAAAAATATTTTATATAAATTTTCGGTGAAAGTTAAAGTTTAAAAAATAAAAAAAGTGTTTGTGCTTTTCATTTGCATAAAAAGACAATTTTTTTTGCATTAAATATTTGTACTATTAAATTTTTTGTTTTTTTTTTTAATATTTATACCGTTTGTCAGTGGAAGAGTATGAGCTCATATATTTCTGTTTATTTAGAAATTAGTATGTGTTTTTGCTGTTTATCAGCGCCCCTTTCCGGCAAGCTTTTCAGCGTACCGAAATTTTATAGTGTTTTTTTTTGTTTTGTTTAAATTTTTTAGATAAGCTTCTTATCAATTGATTGCGTTCCTAGAGTCGTATGCCATGCCACAAATGCTTTCGCTGTTCTAAATAGATCGGCACTACTAAGAATACCTTGGTTTTATCATTTCATAGCTGTTTTTAAGTGTTTGTTGAACAGTTATCATAAATATCGGTTTTTTTTCTATAGTATACATATTGCAATTATGCAGTCGAAACTTCAAATGAATAAGTTTTAGTTTTTATTATTACTCATAAACATTTTTTAAATGAAAGTCACTTGAAAAAATGGATAAATTAAATGCTCTAATTTGTTGGTAAGATTTTTTTTTTGTAATTAATATATTTTCATATTTATTTTTACTTAAACTATTATATTAAATAGAAAATCTAAATATTTTTAATTTATTTTCCAGTGGCAGCAATAATTGTACCACAACAAACTCACAAGCACAAATCCCACAGGAACAGGAGTTGCAAAAGTTAAAAACGGATAAAGAAAATTCGACACAAATGAATAAAATAAATCAAAAAAATAATTATGAAAACAAAAAACAACAAAATGCAGATATAAAAAATCTAGAGAACAACGATGAAAATTCTAGTCAGGTGAGTGTTAGTCATACATACAAACATACATAGGTCAATTTGTTTTTTGATAAGTATTACTGCAGACCTTTAAAAATATAATGTTTGTTATGGTGAAGGATGTTTCATGCATCATATTCAGACGTTTCTGTGGTTCTGGATATGAGAGTTCTCTTGAGCAAATTTTTTCACTATGTTATATATCAATATAGTTTTCTAGATATCAGGCTTTATAGTTGAAAATTTTTATTTTATTTAACATGTGGATGCGCCAGATGGTTACTCGTCATTTATGTTATCAATGCGATAATTGCATATATTTATATATATGTATGTACTTAAAGGTGCTAGATGGCATGTGTTGTTTGTGTAATCATTCTAAAAAGTTTTCTGGTTTAAATCCTCGATATATCAAGAAGTTAAGTACATCGGTTTATAGCTTAGAGAAAAAAAAGCTTATTCCACTTAAATTCGTTGTTCAATTAGTGTATCCAGAAAATCTGGATAGCGCTATTATATTGTAGTTATGAGAGTTTGAAAAACTATTGTTGATATGTATAAATCCACCTTATAGTAACATTACTGCCTATCTATATGTTCAGAAAATAGTGTATGTGATTTCTATTGTTATAGAATAATAATATAAATTTTATAATAGATCAAGTCATCTATTTTAACAGTTATCTGTTCTTGTCGTATTAGCCTAAACAGTGAATCTTTTATAATGGATCTCTGATGAGAGAGTTTAATACCATTTGGTCATCTGCATAGATAAGTGATTGTTTAAAGTAGACTTGGTTGTTCTTGAAATCTTAGGGTATTTTTTTTTGAAACACACTACAAAGTTATTAGGGTTTGTTAGCGATAACATTAAGTTTAAAGATGTTCATGATAGAAAAATAATTCTTTATCAAAAATTATTTGTGAGATAATAATATATATATATAATATATATGAAAATTAAAAACAATTTTATAAAAAATAAATATTCTGCAAAAATGATTGAAATTATTCCTAAAACTCTACTTTGAAGCATCTTATTTTCTGGTTTCATTTGAGTACAAAAACCCATTGATATTAAATCAAATTGCTATTAAAGGACTAAAAGTTGATATATAACTTATGATACAACCATTTTGAACACAGTGATTTATATTAATGCATTTTTTAATTTAATTAATTAATAATTTTTTGTAGTAGTTACATAATGTTTAACTCGATGAAATTGAAATTAGGTAGGAGGGATACCCTTATTATTTTTTTTTATTTTTCGGAATATTGATGTTGAAGAACTTTAAAATGAAACAACATTCTGTATATTATATTTTAGCTATAAGTTTCAACTTTTGATTTAATCACGTACACAAGCAATTTCTTTGCAATATTTATTAATTCTTTCAAATAAATTTTTATTTTTAACTTTTTAAAATATTTCAAGACTAATTTTCAATATTTTTTCTTATTAAAAAACGCATCTAATAAAACAATTAAAATAATTTTAAAAATATGTTGAATAGATATTTTTCTATCTTTTTTTTTCCAATTTTTATGTTTATTTAATATTTAATGATTGTTAACACAATTTGAACTTAATTTTGAATAATGAATGAATAAATTTATTATAAAAAATATGAAAATTGATTTTATGATTTTTATACGACGTATTAACCTGCTAAATATACGCTACTGACGCATAAGTGCTTGGTACAAAGAAAAACAGAGATATCACATTAAAATGTGCTTAAATCAAAATTTTTTTAACACCTCCAATAAAATTATTATCCAAACATTGGCTCTCTTCCAAAAATAATAGTAGCGCACTCCTCGAAATAATTGGGCATGAAAAAAATAAGTTCAATAATGTAAAATCAACTAAACAAAAGCATCTGCTTAATATTTCAAAACTAAAATTCAAACTAAGTATAAATAATTAAATTAATTAATTGCTTAGTTGTGGTGTGAAATATTCCCTGATCTTGACCTAATGAAAGTAAATTGAGTTATAGACTATATCAACATTTTGAAATTATGGAATGTGGTAGATGTTAAAAATAGCATGTCCTTGATATGCCAAATAAACTGTATAACTAAATTAGTGTCAGACATTATTATATATAGAGACACACTACTTTTTAAAATAAATTAGTGAAAGTATTTTATATATAGTTTGTAATACAAAAACCAGACTTTTTTTATTATAACAACATTTAAAACCTTTCATAATATTTTTGTCATACTTCAGAAAAATCAGAAAAATATTAATTGATTGAGAGATTTTTGCTCTTCACTTCAATTGAATTATCTCTCAATATTATTTAAGAGTTCCATTAAAGTTCCATTAAAATTTAATGATTTCCTATTTTGGAGTTAATATTTTAAAATAGATTTTAGATGTTTTAAAGCAGGGTAGTTCAAACCAGATGGTGGGTCAATACAAATCACTGAATAAATTGGAGGGCCGTAGAACTAAATACATAGGTTCATAATTTTTCCGGTGAAAAATAAAAATACGATGATAATTTAATTAAATTTAGTTTTATTAATTCTTCGTTAATTTTTTTTTTTGCAATCTTATCAATAACAGCATTATTAATATTAGTTGTTGCCCTACGAAGAGAATATTTTATTTTTAATGTAAGGACTTACGGCACTGGATATTAGTTTTTTGAACCAGTTGTACAAATATATACTAAAGTCTTTGTCAATTAAGTAAATTAATGTGAAATGTGATAAATTATTTAAAACATTTTAGTTAATTTATTAAGGATACCTTAAAAATAAAATAATATAATGTTACTAAAATAGAACAAAGAAAAATTTGCCTAATTGTGGTGTATTAGAAATACGTGGCGGGCCGTATGAACCGTACTTTGCATAGCTCTGATTTAAAATATTGGTTCAGTTTAGTTTGGTATAAAGATGAATCTAATACTGACTTAATGATTTAGTATGTATTTTTAATATTATAAGAATTACTATGAATCAAGCATCCCTGATTTTAAACTTACATACATTGATTTATATATTTTTTAGAATATTAAAAGTTTTCCGATATTAGTTTTTGACAGTTCTTCGAGAGTCTTGAAGAAGGGTTTTCCAAGAATTGTGGTCCAGCTGCCTACTAAGGTTGAGGTCTATAGAAAAACCATAATATTATTTTTAAACTATAACTTTATAAGCTGATTATGTATATAAAATAAATGTAATTTATTTATTGCTCTATTATCTTGGAATCTATAGGAGTTGTAGTTATATTTAATAATAAATTATTGCAATTCTTAACAAGAACTATTTCTAAGCTAACTTTTTCTCACCTTGTTATTTTACACAAAAACTTTATACAACTATTTCTCATATCCACTGTTCAATTAATTTTATTTAATTTTTGAAAATAGAAAATTTTATTTTTATGCTAACTTAACTTTACGCAGTTCTAATAATTAAAAACATAACAACTAGCTTTTATGTTAACATATTTAGTATTCTATGTTCCAATAACGTCAAATAAATTGCTATTAATTTTCTTCTCTTAACACTTTTAAAATGTATTTAATTTACATTTAAGGTGGATGAAGTAATATAAATAAAATTAGTGTTTAAGGCACCTCGTGAGCAGCTTTAAAACTGAATAAAGATAAAATCCTCTGTGTAAATATGAAAGCTTTGCACCTTTGCTTGATAAAATTATATTTAAAATTTTAATACTCTTATCAAAAAAATTAAAATATTAATATTTTAATATATTATATAAATAAAAATAAATTATTTTAACACAAACGCTTGACGTGTATGGTTTTTGTGATTTAACTTAAACGACATTAATGTATATTTGGTTTGGAACTAACAATGTTGAAAATGTATATATTAGTAATTAGATCTACTCAAAAACTTTTGATATTAAAAAATCAGTGTTTAATCAAACGCAGTTCTAATAATTAAAAACATAACAACTAGCTTTTATGTTAACATATTTAGTATTTAAGTGCTACTTGAAAGTGCTAATAGTCGTTATTACAGCTAAAAAATAACGCCCTATACATATATATAATAGTGTTTTAGAAAAGATGCTAAAGATGAATTAAAATAAATTTTATTAATTGTTATGAAAATGAAACTAAAAGTTTACTATTACACCATTATAGAGAGAAAGAAAGAAACAATAATACATTTTCTCTGTGAATGCCCGGCTTTAGCGTCCACAAGATATAGGTTCTTACGAAAATACTTCTGTGATAGTTTATAAGACTGCTCAACGATGAAGATGAAAGACATATTAAATTACCTAAATTTGTCGGGATGGATTTTGTCTCTACTCTTCTATACTAGGGATCTTGCGAGGAATGTGGTATCAAAACATCGAAAAATCGCTAATTGAGGTACATTTGAAGTTATCTAATGGCTTGCCACTGCAACCAACCAACACCATTATTCTGACTGTGTACCTACTATAGTAGAGTGTGTACACAACTTATAGTATCCTCTACCAGTCGTTTCTACATTTCATATTAACGTCAGTCATTATATCCAAACTATGATAGCTCACACATAATTTAAAACTTACCTTAAAAAAGGTGCTGTCCTTTCAATAATTTTCACTTAATTGTAATGATACATGTCAGTATTTATGATATGTTCAAACCAGCTAGTCGCAAGGTCTATAATAGCTAGTCGTGCTACTATTTTAAAATCATAATACTGCTTTTACAATTTGTGGTTTCGTCGGGAACCCAAAAACACTATGCAAAGTCTGACCCATGACCTATCTACAGTACACATTTTTTCACCAGAAATTATAAGCAAGTTTTGTTGGGTTGCATATACATTATTGACATTATTACTACTTTTAATAATAGAATGGTAAAATAGATTGGTTTTATGCTCTGTAAAAGCGCCAAATAAAAGAATACCGAGAATATATTACTAATTATCTTAAAATTTAAAAGGTTATGTTAAACTATAAGTTGAAGTATTTCCGAACTAGAGAAACTTTTAGGCAGGATATAAAATATGATAAATGGATA